CCCCTCATTGATAGACAACCCCGTCGTATTGAAAAAACACGACGACTTCTGGCGGATATGCATTGACTACACGGACCTGAACAAAGTGTGCCCAAAGGACTGTTATTCGTTGCCCAAAATAGACCAAAAAGTAGAATCCATGGAAGGCTTCAAGTGGAAGTGCTTCTTGGACGCATACAAAGGGTACCGAAGGTTTGTATCGATTGGATACACTCAGGTATGAATAAAAAAGAACAAACAAACAAAACAAAAGTAAACAGAAATAGAAGAACAATGATGATCAAAAAGATACTTTCATTAAGAAAAGGTTATCACAAAGAGAATAGTCGCACAAAGCGAGGCACCAAGCTCTATTAGGGTTTAACCCTATTGGTACAATATATACGATTATAGAAACGGAGATCCCACTATTTTAAGGATGTATTGTAAGGTCACACCTTATGATCTGATGAGTCAAACACACGACACGCTGATAGATCAGCGTCAACGACTACAACATCGGCATTGCCAACATATCAAGCTTATCCGAGTTAGCTTACAGTTTAGTTATCCGATTATAATACTTTGTATATTAAGAAGATATCTTTGTATATTAGGTAATGATATAGATAAGAATAGAATAGATTACAAATCTGGTATCTTTGTGATAAGATCGGTTCTTAGTAGTATATTAGATGTAATCCCTTCAATCAAGGGATTTACATGTATAGATTAGTATATATACAACATTAGGGCAAACCCTAATGTTGTGATCGTGGCTTTGTGTCAATCGTCGTCTTCTTGGTGAAGACAAAACTCTTTCTTGATGAAAGAACAACTTAGAGAACTTTTGTGTCTTTTACTTTCTATTTATTATTTTTTGTGACATCCCCATTTTTCACGGCCAGAAAAGACCGATTTTGTTTATGCTTTATAAAAATCAGAGTACCTCTTTTAATAAAAATGTTGCGGAATTTGTTCCCAGAAAAACATGATAAATACGTTATCAAAGCATTTCCGAAGAAATGTATTTTTATCCATTTTAAAACATTTGGGATGTCATCGTCAATACAGAAACATAAGCATAAACAGAACTTACATTCATTTATACTAGTGATCTACATCTCTTTTAAATCCCTCAGTGTAAAGTAGCTTCATATCGACACCTATGATACAAATAAGCTTGAGTGGGTCAGGTTGGGAAACCTGGTGAGTACATAGGGTTTTCAACCCACAATAATTTAATTATTATGTTTAAACATCAAGCAATCAACCCAATTACCCATCCCCATTATCTTCCTTACTCTTAAGGATCTACCCTAAGAATCATCTATCCTGCATTCGTTCATTTCAAAGCCCATTGCTTCCAGGGTTTATATGATAGGCACTAAGTCCATAGCTGCCAATGCTTGTTCGTAAAGCACTAATTCCACAGTTGCTAAAGTTCATTCATCGGGTACTAAATCCATAGCTACCGGTGTTCAGCTAATAGGTACTAAATCCATAGCTACCAACGTTTATTTAACAGGTACTAAGTCCATAGCTACCAATGTTTATTCTATATGCACTAAGTCCATAGCTGCCGATGTTATTTGTTAGGCACTAAGTCTATAGCTGCCAATGTTCACTCATATCATCTTTCATCTCTCATCATTCATCTACCCATGGTTTACCCAACATATTCGTAGATATAAAATACATATACATTTTAAATTATTTAAAACATGTATAAAATCGTTCATCCAGCATAGAAAGCAAGTATTCAAATAATATGCACACATACCACGTAATTTATATAAAATACTTCATATCTATGTGTAAGATGAAAGTAACTATGCACTCACTTGTTAAGGTGGTGATTCCGAACTCAGACAGCGCTTCGCTTCTATTAATTTATTTTCTTTCGACGAAACCTAGTATCATTACCACTAGAGTTTAGTCTAATATTCACCGAGACTAATTAATAGTCTAGCTATTATTACTATTATATAAGCGTTAAACAATACTCTTCACCCACTATGTACAGACAGGAGCCAGACATAAAACACCGGAGGGCATGACCATTTTGGCATATAGCACTTCTGAAATACAACAACCCTATGCGGCCCTTTAAACCAGATTCTCCGTACCGCGAGTGGTTAAAAAGATATTATAACGACACTTATATAACTCATAATAATAGCCTAAATATTTGTTATAAGTTCCTAATAACAATACTATATTTAAATAAAAGCTATATTTAAAATAGGGTAGGCGTATCTTACATACGAGGAGGTTTGGCTAGAAGTCGGGCTCTATAGGGGCAGAACTTCCGAGCCGAAAGCTCTTCGTCTCGGAGCGGTCGAGCGCTCCGAGGCTTTCTTCTAGCGCTAGGGGAGTTTTGGGAGGTTTAGAGAGAGAGTATAGAGAGATGGGTGGAGGTGTGAAGAAATGAGGGTAGAAGGGGTTGTATTTATAGGGTGAAATATGGCTGAAATTAGTACCACATGTCACCATCTAGTGGCAAGCCTTGAGGAGAAAGCAATGGCCAAGATTGTGCCACGTCACCCCTTTTGCAGCAGCACTCTGCCGACTTTTAAACCCCGTAACTTTCGCATACGAGCTCTGTTTTCGACGTTCTTTATATCCACGTGTAGGTAAAAATAAGATCTACAACTTTCATTTTGACTCGGTAGGCTAATTCTTGACCGATCTTAAATTTAATAGTAGGAGGAGATTATACTGTTAAATGACCGCTGAAAATTCGTAACTCTTTCATACAGACTCCGTTTTCGTCTTTCTTTTTATCGTTGACTTCCTATTAATGAGATCTTCAAATCGCATTTCGGTCACGTAGGCCAAAAACCGCTCGATCTAAAATTCGAGTTTCGGGTCGTGCACTACTATGCCAAATCTTTGAAAATTCATAACTTCCTCATATGAAGTCAGATTTGGGCGTTCTTTTTATGCACGATCTCAGTTTAACGTATAATATAACTTTTGTTTAGATCACTAAGGCCAAAAAGTCCTCTATCGTAAATTCACTATTTACGTCTCTCGGTGTCGTGCCGGTTTTGCCGTAAAACTTCGACGGGCCATAACTTCTTCGTTATAAATCGGATTTCGGCGTTCTTTATATGTACGGAACCCTTTTAACATATACTACCACTTGGTTAAGATTAATCCTTATAAATAATATTCCACCAATAACTCATTTTTAATGCTTATTGTCTCTAAATTGGCTAGCCCGAATGTGCGGGCGTTACAATTATCTCCCCCTTAGGATGATTACGTCCCAGAATCATCAACGTAACAGGGCTGTATAATGACTCCATACGTTATCTCTTCATCCTAGGTAATAATCGTAGCTTCTATGTTTCTTCGAATGCATATCTAACTCCTGGTCTTCTTGACTGCAAGCGGTGCTTGATCTTGCACCCGTTCTCTATGTCTTGTTACACTTTCAATCATGACCTTCATGTCACACTTTCAATGAACTCTCATCGTATGTTGCAACGCTCAGACTCAGGTCTCTTAGAGTCAAATTCCGGAATGGAATATACTTTCCTTCATGTTCTAATGTGATATAATCACATTTTAACATGTAGCATTTCTAGCTACCAACTTCTTTAACTAGCGTGATACTTCTATTGACCGCTTCGATTATCTTTCACTTCAATCTTCTGGCTTAAGTCAGATGATACATCGAACTTGGTTCTCTGAACCACGTAACATACTCATCTTAGTCAGACTCAATTTGATATGACCACTAGGGTCGAAACAACAATCATCTTCTTAATCATTACCGAAACGATGGTAATGACATACTTGAATAAAACGGAATCAACTACTAGCTTCTTGGTAACCTTGTGACTTTCCCCGATCCAAGTGTGAGTCATGTGCTTCCGATAGTATAGGCCTCTACTACCATTCACACCTACTCATACTCGTCCCAAGTATTGTCTCGCAGCTTTCCAAGTTACTATCACAAAAACAATTTTAACACATACAAATATGTCCAAACAATCATATAATTTTTCCTAGACTCTACTAGGACTTCTTCCATGCGTATCTTTGATCGTCAATTCTGCTTCAACTCGGTAGGTGATGGAAATGTCAGACGATGGGATAACTTCATGGATTATACAAAAAATCTTTCTTTCTACTAATCAAAAGTTTACTTCTCCCGTACTAGACATATTATTTCTTAGACGCGTTCTAAAGGCAAGATATCACTCTTAAAATATCTTTCGATAGGTATCATTCAATATCGTAAGCCTTCTCATTTCCTCCATTTGCTCAGTCTGCTATGAGTCCTTATCATGACATTCTATATACCAAAGCAGGCGTTCGGTGTATCGAGACGAGAATATAGATAGAGGAAGATTTACACGCGTATTCCTCCTTATTACTCCAAAAAGTTACATGTCAGTTCTAATATCGTAATTAAATGTTTAGAAACCTGAGCACATAAGATTTCCAGATCTAGTCGGCAACAAACCATAGATCCGATCAAACGATAGCATAAAGCATCACAAATCATTTAGCACATAAAAGCATGTTAGGCATTTTCCCTAAATAAGCTAGTGCTTGTGTCTATTTAGGTGTACTACCTAAAATATATTAGACACACTCCTCACAATCATCGCTTAGCATTCTAAGTTTAAGTCTAGAAATAAATCCTTATTCCTAGTTCGCTTAAACTAATGCTCTGATACCAACTGTGACATCCCCATTTTTCACGACCAGAAAAGACCGATTTTGTTTATGCTTTATAAAAATCAGAGTACCTCTTTTAACAAAAATGTTGCGTAAATTGTTCCCAGAAAAACATGATAAATACGTTATCAAAGCATTTCCAAATAAATGTATTTTTATCCATTTTAAAACATTTCGGATGTCATCGTCAATACAGAAACATAAGCATAAACAGAACTTACATTCATTTACACTAGTGATCTACATCTCTTTTAAACAATCAAATACCGAATGAAAACCGAAACCGAAATTATATTTACAAATCTAAAATTAAACGATTCCCCTCAAGAGCTCACCGAAGGTCCAAAGTACATACAAATCGGCAGATCAATCCTCAAAATCGAGAGAATCGCGGACGGAATCGTCCAAATCCCGTCCCCACAAATCAAACCGGAAGCAACCGCACCCGCATAATCCTCCACATCCTTCTTATTCAATCTTTCCCACACAAACAAAATCACCGTCCCAACAAACATATCAATCGCAAAATACGCATCGATATAAAACGGCACCGCCATCGCCATCGGAATCGGAACAAACTGCGCCACCTTCGCCGGACTCCAATCCCTAACAAAATTCAAAACCAACACCGCCACAAAAAACCCACAACACAACGCCAAACAATGTTTCGGAAGCTTCGAAAACCCTTCCACCCCAAGAATCGCCATTTCTCGATATATAACCGCGTATGGCGCTTTATACGGACTATCGGGTGTTACGATCTCAAACGCGCTCCAAAACATCCAAAAAGTCAACGGCGCGATCACACATCCCATTGCAGTGCCAACCAACTGACTCATGAACATCGATTTGGCGGATGATAAAGTTAGGTAACCGGTTTTGAAGTCTTGCATTAGGTCGACGGCGGTGGCGACGATCGACATCATGACGCCGCACGCCGCTAATCCGGTGATGATGTCGCCGTCGGATTCGACGATTGACGCGATGATGAAGAGGCCGATTTTGCCGTACGTGGACGCGAGGCTCCAGTCTGTGAGACCGGTTCCGTATGAGTTGCAGAAGGCGAGGGCGGGGGCGATGATGTATGAGGCAAGGACGAGGTACCATTTTAGAGGTGGGAAGATTAAAGGCATTGTGGCCATGGATATTGCGACTTGGGCTACGTAGCCTGAGGCTGCCAACCATGATGGGATACTGTGTTTTAGGAACACGACGTCTCTTTTTTGTTCCTCTAGTTGTGATTTGGTTTTTTCGGAGTCTAGAAAGAAAATTTTAGGGTATTTAAAACGTATTTAGCTTATTGATAAGGTTATGGAGCTTTTTCCACAGGTTTCCAAATATATACACTTGAATGATAAAAAGAAAAGGTTGATAGCACATTGGAAATTAAAGTTGAATCTTACCTAGGATCTGTTTTGTTGTAGGGAGATCTTGTGGTTTGGTGGTGTTGTTCCAGATTGCCTTAACGAAAATGGCAACTATCTTTACTAGATTGTAAAGACCATCTCCAAGAATCAAGGAAATAGCTATAAATACCTACAAAGGCAACAATGTTGATACATAGATAATCGAACACATCTTTGCATGAGAACCAACAAACATGGTAGGATTCGATACATAGATAATCGAACACGACCACTACATCTCACCTAGAAGCACCATAATAAAAAAAAGGTGAGGGCAAGTAGGGGAACATAACAAAGCCATCAACAACGAAGTAACAAAACATGTTTAAGTCGAGATTCTCCGAGAATCAATCTTCCCCTCATGGATAGACAACCCCGTCGTATTGAAAAAACACGACGGTTTCTGGCGGATATGCATTGACTACACGGACCTGAACAAAGTGTGCCTAAAGGACTGTTCTCTGTTGCCCAGAATAGACCAAAAAGTAGAATCCATGGAAGGCATCAAGTGGAAGTGCTTCTTGGACGCATACAAAGGGTACTGAAGGTTTGTATCGATTGCATACACTCAAGTATGAATAAAAAAGAACAAACAAACAAAACAAAAGTAAACAGAAATAGAAGAACAAGGATGATAAAAAAGATACTTTCACTAAGAAAAGGTTATCACAAAGAGAATAGTCGCACAAAGCGAGACACCAAGCTCTATTAGGGTTTAACCCTATTGGTACAATATATACGATTATAGAAACGGGGATCCCACTATTTTAAGGATGTATTGTAAGGTCACACCTTATGATCTGATGAGTCTAACACACGACACACTGATAGATTAGCGTTAGCGACTACAACATCGACATCGCCAACATATCAAGCTTATCAGCGTTAGCTTACAGTTTAGTTATCTGATTGTAATACTTTGTATATTAAGAAGATATCTTTGTATATTAGGTAATGATATAGATAAGCATAGAATATATCACAAATCTGGTATCTTTGTGATAAGATCGGTTCTTAGTATATACTATATATTAGATGTAATCCCTTGAATCAAGGGATTTACTGTTGGATTTATTGTCTAAGCCCATAACTATAATTGGTATGTACTTGACCCGAGAGTAGCATGGTCCATTTGTGTTGCATGGCACCAGAACAATTTGTAAGGATGGACTTTTGAGAAGAGGACATTTATGATTTATTAATATATTATAAGTTGTAATATATTAATATGAAATCGCATTATTTAATTAGTATTGATCAAGAATTAATTTGGAATTAATTTTGTGATCAAAAGAGACTAATTAAATATATGGGGATTGATTGTGTAAATCATTCATTTTTATAAAGTGGGCTTATGATCCATAGTTCTTTATGTTTGGCTAAACCCATGTGGTGACCCATGGATACTCCATGGAGGTTAAAACCCATGGAGCCTAAGGAATGTGGAAAGTCATGCACATTAGGGTTTACATGGTGCCTAGTTGTGTCACACTATATAAGAAACCTCATGGCTACCAAAATCGGCACTTAAGTGAGATACAAGAGGGATAGCCGATTTTGTGTGTGCAAGACAATCTCTTCTCAAGTTCTCCATTGTTGGTGGTGTTGTGTGAAGCATTTGAGGCATCAAACTTGGGGTGCTAGGCTCTTGAAGGCTTAAGGTTTCAAAGCTACAACAAAGGTAAGTCATCTAACTAGATTTTTGTAGTGTATATACTCCATAGTATGCTAGTTAGGATGATGCCTTGGTAAATTGAAAGTTTGCATGTATAATAGAGAAAACATAGATCCAATGCATCTAGGGGGTTGCATGTACACCATAGGAGTGTTAGAATGCTCAAAACCCTTTAGTGGTATCAGAGCATAGGCTTGTTTTCCATTATACTTGATGCTACTTGTTTTCAATGCTTGAAAAAATCGATTTTCTGCTTTGTGGACAGTGAAGTCGCCGAGTCCACTGACAGACTCGCCGAGTCCACCCTAAAAAACTGACCAACTCGCCGAGTCAGTTCATGCACTCGACGAGTTGGTGCTCCAAAATGTAGAATTTCGAGTCTTAAAGCCAAAATTTGACTAGAATCATTACCCTAAACTGTTTTTGAACAAATAAACCTGTTTTTTGACGTGGTAATGATTGTACTTATCCAATTTCAAAGATAATTGTCAAAGTTTCATGTTTTGTATTAGTTTATATGATTAGGCTAATTTCATGAAATTTGTTTGATATGAATTATCTTGTTCATATAAGTTTAATTGAATTATGTATGAATTATTTGATTATTGTGTTAATTAAAATTATTGGTTAAATGCTTTTAATTGACTCCATTACTTGTCCTCAAGTTATGGAAAATGAAAGGTTTTTCTTTTAAGAGATCATTAAACTCATATGTTATGGAAATGAAAAGTTTTGACATGTTTCAAAACTTGCCCTCGAGTTTTGGAATTTGTAAAGTTACACTTTTGCATACTTTAATTCCAAACCTTAGAATTTTAAAAGTTTAAAATTCAACCCTTATACTTTATAGTATTATATGTTAATAATATATATATATATATATATATATATATATATATATATATGTAAGATCAAGTCAGTCTTACCGTTAGTAGGCCTCATTCACGAAGCCGGTCTATAAGGGGGGTATAAGGTTACTGCCTATAAAATGGCAGTTTAATGGGTGTCCACTCTCACCCACCGCTTCCTTGACTGGTGGAGGTTCGTTAGTCGAACGGGTAGGATATGACTATAATTCTCATTAAGTATAATGATAGTAATAAAGTAACTAAACCTTTTATAAATTCCAAATCTTAGTTACTTTAGAAAAATGTGAAATTGATGCTAATCCTTGAAAATTGCACTTTGCACCTTGCCAAGTCGTTGATGGAGCATGTGTGGTTAACCGGCACATTAACTACGACTGGTAAGGATGGAAAAGGGTGGTTCGATGTTTATCATAAGATCAATGGAGCGTGTGTGGTTGACCGTCACATTGATTGGGTGATAAAGTCGAGAGTACCAAGCACATTTTGCATGGTTATTCACACCTTGTTTGTGATCCTCGGTATCCCAGTCATAAACCTGAAGGGCATAATCGAGATTTAAACATGTCATTGAATTGTTCAATGAATCTCAAAGGATCTAGGAATTTCAATCCAATTAAAACTTAACAACAATTTCGTTTTTCATGGTGGAAATTGGTAAATCGTCATTTACCTACCTTCAAATATTTTGCAAGTTGGATTACGGCATCCCTTTTCCAATTTGTAAAATATTGTGTTGGGTCCTAGCCTTAATATTTCATTTTGGGTGTTATATTGAGGACTCTTTATCTAATCTAAACTTTGTTCTCTTCTTTTTCAGATATCTTCCAACACTGCTTCTGGCTCAAACCCTACTGGCTCTTTCTCTCTCATGAACCTTTGTGGGAGAGTCATCTTTGATGGTTCCAACTTCAATGATTGGATTAGGAACATCAGGATGGTCACTCGCTATGAGAACAAGGAATATGTCCTAGACAAGGAGCTTAAGGAAATCGATGAATCTTATGCTACTCCTGAGGATATCACTGACTTTAGGACTCATGAGAAGGATGCCACCAAGGTGTCTTGTATCATGTTGGCCACCATGACAGCTGAACTCCAAAAGTCTTATGAGGACTTCTACCCTTTTGAGATGCAGTAGGACCTGATGGAAAGATACCATCAGAGTGCTCGTCAAGAGAGGTATGAAATCATCTCTTCCATGATAACAACCAGGATGAAGGATGGTGAACCCATCACGGGCCACTTGCAGAAAATGCAAAGGTTTGTGGACCGATTGCTAAAGTTGAATGTGAACTTCCCTGAGGAGCTGGCTATAGATATCATTCTACACTCTTTACCTCCATGTTATGATCAGTTCCGCATGACCTGTCATATGAACAAGGAGGAGGTCACACTTAGCAAACTTCAAGGGCTTTTGAGGACTGTCGAAAGTGGTCTCAAAGGTAAATCGGTTGTTACTACTCCTACCACCGCCCCTGTTCTGGCAATTGGGCAAGGAAAAAGGAAGAAGAGGAAGGCTCCCTCAAAGAGCCTCAAGGGAAAGTCTCTTGATGGATCCTCTTCAAGTGGGACCAAAGTTGGTTTTGCTGCTCCCTCTTCCATTCCTAAGGAAGCAGAGTGTTTCTATTGTCACGATAAAGGGCACTGGAAGTGAAGCTGCCCCAAATACTTGCAAGATGTCAAAGATGGGAAGATTAAGGCCACCCATGCAGGTATTTATACTATTCTATATAATAACTCATCACATTCTTGTTCTTGGGTCCTTGATACAGGTTGTGGAATTCACATTTGTTCTGATTTGTAGGGACTAAAAAGAAGTAAGGATATGGAGCACGGGAAGATAAACTTGATCATGGGGAACAAGAAGGTTTCACCTGTCACCAAGATTGGAGTTTACTCTTTATTACTTAGTAGTGGGTTAGAAATAGATTTGAATAATTGTTGCTACTCGTCTGAAATGGCGAGAAATGTTATTTCCTTTCATGGTTTGTACAAACAAGGGTTTAGTTTTTCATTTGATAATGAATGTGGTGCTATTAATGCTTATTATAATGATGTCTTTTATTTTAAAGCATTACCTTGTAATGGTGTATATGAAACTGTGATGGTTATTGACAACTTAGGAAATAATGTTTTGCACATTGATTCTTCCAATGAATTGGATAAATCATGTTTGTGGCATTGTCGTCTTGGACATGTCAGCAAGAAGCGCATAGGCCAACTCCAAAAGGCTAGAGTTTTGGAGTCATTCGACTTAAGGTCGGATGACACTTGTGAATCTTTCTTGCTTGGAAAGATGACTAAATCACCCTTCACTAGTACTTGTGAAAGGGGTGAAGGTTTGTTGGATCTCATACACACCGATGTGTGTGGGTCCTTCAGAACCGCCACAAGGGATGCTAACCGCTTCTATGTGACTTTTACTGATGATTACAATAGATATGGGTATGTCTACTTAATCAAGCATAAGTCAAAAACCTTTGAGAAATTCAAAGAGTTTAAGCAAGAATTGGAGAATCAGCTGGGCAGGAAGATAAAGATGCTCCGATCCGATCAGGGTGGTGAGTATCTTAGTATCGAGTTCCTAGACTATCTTAAGGAATGTGGGATTGTCTCATAATTGACGCCAACTAGGACACCACAGCTCAATGGTGTGGCTGAGAGGCGCAATCAAACCTTGTTAGACATGGTTCGTTCCATGATGAGTCGAGC